TAGGCAACAAATATTATTGAGTGTGCACCTAACAAAATAGCTTGAAACAGTGTGAGGCAAAAACTAAAAATGCTGCAAAGAGAAGTAGATGAATCCACGATTATAGCTGGAGACTTCAAAAGCCCCGTTGCAGTCACGGGCAGGTCCGGGAGGCAGAAAAATCAGCAAAGATAGCTGAACTCCACAATGTCAGCAGTGAACTGAATATAATGTAAATCTATAAACTACTCATCCAGCAATGGCAGAAAGTACATTCTTTTCAAGCTCACATGGGACTTTCACCAACGCAGACCACATTCTGGGCCATAAAACACAACACATTTTGAAAGAATAGAAATCATACAATGTCTGCTGTCAGACCACAAAAGATCAATAAAATAGACAAGCCTCCCGCTAGGCTAACTAAGAAAAAAAGAAAGAAGACACACATTACTAGTATCAGAAATGAAAGGGCATCACGACATCCTATGGACATGAAAAGGATAACAAAGGAATACTATGAACAACTCTACGCCCATGGATTTGACAACCTACATGAAATGGACCAGCTCCCTTTTCTAGCCCTCATCATCATATTTCTGGACAGTTACAATTATTTTCATTGTGTCTTCCCAACTCTATTTCTTATTTTCTCCCACTTTGTTTCTTTCCACCTTGTAAAATTATTTCTGTGCCTGTTATTTTCATGCTGAAATATTTTAAAGACATTATACCTACAGAGAAATATCTAAAAGCTTTACAACCTCACTCTACATCCCTACCAATGCAGTCTAACTTGTGTATCTTGCCCATATATCTCTTCCTCTTTCTCTTATTCCCTTTCCATTATAACCATCTCTCCCCTTCTTTCCCACTCCCTTTCTCCCACAAATATTGTTCATCTATTCAAGTAAAGTAGTTAATATCTCACTGTGTTCCAATGAATACACCTCTCATCTTTCCCAAATAGTATTTACCGTGCTTGAAACAACTACTCTATTCTTTTCCAGCCAATAAAAGGCTGCTGATTACCATATAATATTTAGCTCAAAATCACTGTCTCTCTTACTTTGCCTCTGAAAGGAGCATCTTCTATCCCTTACATAATTAGAAGAGAGAATTCTCTCTTTTATCTGCCCTCAAAACTCATTGCATCTATTTCCTGTGCCTGATTATGATGCCTTTAATGTGGAATAAATGTACCAAACTCCCAAGCATAGAATTGAATTTGAAGTGGGACATCCCTAAATAGATGTTTAGTTTAACTGAATTAATACGGGATATATAATCTGGAAACTCTAGATATCACCTATAGGGATCCGTGTTGTGACCCCTTATTGGGATTTTCCTGAATCCACGAATTTGCAATTATTTGAAAACGTAAAGAATTGTGGCCTCTAAGCTTGGCCCCGCTCATGAGCTTTCTCTTTCTAGAACCCATTACTTAGAGTTCAAACCGGGGAAGAAAATTGAAAACAAATTTTTAGTTTTGGATGGAGTTAATCAATTTATAGATTTTAGGGTAAGATAGAAATGTCTATACAAAGACAATGTGAAGTTTTCCTTGGTAACATGGGTTCTTTGTTTTATTGTCTGTGGCAGAAGTTTATTTGCAAGGCTGACCAAAGTCATTCTGGCTAAAATCCTGACTTATTCCCTCAGTTAACAAAAAGGCCACCGCTCACTGTCCCATAAGCAACATTGCTTCTCCTCCAAGTTCAGTGTCTGTTCCACCTTCTCCCTTTCAAACTTGAACAAACCTCGCTCTTCCCACAGGGACAGTTCCCTGACCTTTCGGCCCTGGGCTTGCTCTGCTGCGGCTTCAGCTCAGACCCCTATAACCACTTTGTGTCGGGTCTCTGCCCATCCCGAAGCTCCCCAGGGTCTGTTCTATCCTTTGTATTTCCATGCGGCATACGTAGCCATCAGCGACGCGAGACCTGTTTCCCTGGGTAGGTTTCTACAAAGAAACCAAAGGACTCCTTTCTCAGACACGACGCCTACTGCAGAGTGTACAGACTCTATGAAATCTATACCCCGTCTGCAGGGAAGTCCTGAGATAAAGTGAAAACACGGTGGCTTCCAGAGGCAGTTCTTTGCTGCTGCTTAAAATGGTGGACTCTCTCTAATTTTTTAAAGAAAAATGCCAAGGTGTTGTTAAACATAACTCAATGCTTTTTAAAATTTAGACTCTTCGGCTTGTCAGCAGAACAGATAGACGCGGTTCCAGCGGGACCCGCATGTGAAATCACCAGCAGAATAATCCTACAGGATGCCAGCTTCGACACCTCAATGACAAAGCTCTTCAATAATAGTTTTCTACAGAGATATATTTTACAACCCAATGAGCTAACACATTCTAACCCACCAAGCTTAAAACAAGATGGAATAAAATAAAACACAAAATGTTCTTGTTCTGCAGAGCTGGGCATGGCAATTTCTTGTGGCTTTTCTTTTTCTTTTCTTTTGAAAAATACTGAATTCAAATGATTCTTCTCTTGTGGTTGGGTAAAAATAATGGATAAAAAATATTCATTAAGAGCTCTGTGTTACTAAAAGGCAGTGAAGATGTTATTTAAAGCCTTGGGCAGGATAAATGAATGTTCTGCTCATCCCTTCTGCTGTCTTCATTTGTTTATTGTTAGCATAATTTTCTAACACCCAGCACGATGGAGCCTGCTGCACACTGGGGAGATGCATTGAGAAAAGGAGTGCAAAAACTGGTGGGCATTCTCCCGCACAGGCTGCTTCCTTCTTTGTTTTAATCAAGAGAAATTCGACTATAAGCACATCATCACTTTAGTTTTAAACATAGTCCTTCCATTAGCACCAAGAGACACTGAGGAAATGGGTGGCGATTCATCTGCCCTCACTTAGGGTTCCTGAAGTCGAAAGTGAGACACGTGCAGACGTGTCAGGTCAGATGTTGGATACTGGGGTTACCATGGCCAGGAGAGCAGGTCACATGACACAACACAGGCTGCCCACCGCGTCTCAGAGGTCCTACTAGGCCAGTCCCATTGTCCATGTATCAGGCTATGTTGCTATGTTAATGGCCAAGCACGGGACGTAAAACTGACATTGACTTTGACTTCTGGAAATATTGTCTCTAGTATTAATCTACAATGTCTCCAATGTTAATCAAACCAACATGTAATAAATATTTAACTAATACCTGTGAGAATTATTAAACAATAAAAGAGCCAAAACAAAGTTGAGAGAATTTCCCTGAGATACTGCTTCCCCTAAAAACCTGACAAAGTCAAGACAAAAATAAGGTAGATTTGATTTTATTTGTTTGTGAGTTTGCTTGTTGGTTATTTGAAAAAGTTATTTTAAAAGTGTTCTATGTTAGAAAAATTAATTGAGGTTTTTTAATCTTTTTTTCCTTGTAAAATATTTGTTACAAAATATAACTCCTATGGATAACTGTTATTGAGAATTGTATCGGGTTTAATAATTCCAAGTAATTTTTGGTGATATGGGTATATAGATTTCAAATTCTTTCAATGGCAACATAAAAGTTTGTAATAAATAATAAAGAACAAACTGACAGTGACCAGAGGCCGGGGGAGGGAGGTAACCGGGAAAAGAAGAGGAGAGGTCAAGTCAAGGAACATGTGTGAAGGACCCGTGGACAAAGCCAATGGGAGGCATTGAATGTGGAAGGAGGGGGGGTCAGTGGGGCAGGGGAGAGTAATGGGGACAGAAATGGGGACAATTGTAATTGAACAACAATAAAAAACTAGGGGTGGGGGGTAATGGGAGGGAAGTAGGGAGGGTTGGGTGGGTGGGCTGGAATGGGCGTAAATGGGAGAAAACTGTACTTGAACAATGATTAAAATAAAATTTAAAAAATAAAAAATAATAAAAGAATGTAAATACATACATAAAAATATATAACTCCCATATGCTAATAGAAAATTTCTCTTTAAATGCACATATATTGGTAAACAAAGAGAGAAAGAGGCCCACTCAGAATCCGAAAGTGCTAGCCATGTGTAATGTCAATGAATGGCCTTTGGCACCAATGTGTTCCCCGTATGAACCCCAGTCCGGGGCGTGGTAAAGGAGGAAAACGTGTCAGTGCAAACAGCTCAGTGGTGAGACAGCACGGCTGTGGGACAGCACAGGTGCAGGACAGCAGGGCAAGGCCCCGTTCTGGCTCGACAGCCCTGCTCTCCTCAGCTTTGGCCTGGTCCGCTCTGCCTTGGACAAGTGAGTTACGCTCTGTGCTTCAGCTCCAGCTGGGGGAATGTAGCCTTCAGTCTGGGGTGAAAACTGAAAGTGCATTTTCTGAGTCACAGAGGAGCTGAGGTACAGAGAGAAAAGTTCCTGCTTCTGGTCCCTTGACTGGTCTGTCCTCGTGCAGACGAGGATTCCAAACCCTAGTGGTTTGATTGGTCCAAAGGGATTGTCCTGATTGGTCAGAGTGGAGCTGCTCTGATTGGTCGGTGAAGATGCTGATGGGGATAAAGCTGCATGGCTCCACTTGAATGGGGAGTGTCTCGGTCTGATTGCTTGAAATCAGAACTTGTATTCCAGTTCCTGGAATACAATTCCGGGAACTCCTGTGTAAGGGCGGGCTCAGGTGGCAGGAACACAGTGCAGGCAGGCAGTTCAGCGCTGCAGCGAGCGAGCTTAGTGGGGGCTTCTCCCAGAAGTGCGGTTTGTGTCAGAAGCCTGTTTAGAATGGGCTGCTGGGCTCTTTTTTCCAACATGAGCGCAGTCAGCCCTGGGAGCCTTTCTTGGTAGGTATCTCCTTTCTGGAATTCACCAGTTTTTAATCTGAAATAGGTATAGTAGCTATTGAAAGCAGTATCTGTCATTTCAATCTGCACTCAAATAGCCCAATGCCATCATCTTAATGAGAAATATGGAACACTAATTTTAAATCTGTATTAAAGTGTAACTCAAAGGCCTTATTAATTGATTAGAAGAGAATATTATTTCTCAGTCTATTTAATAAGTCTCAGATAATATGGTCAGGTTATTTTTGTTCATTTTTTTTCTCCCTATGTAACATAGGCCACAAAATAGTAGTGAACTATATGTTTAGTGACATAGCCCAATGGTGGAGTATGGTCTTCATTTATTATCCCAAAAAGCCCAAGTTGGTAAAGGTTATTAGAAAACCCTTCCCCTAAAAAACACTTTTGGTATGTTTTTGTTAATTTTAAAGACAGGTACCCTACTTCTCGCTGTCTGGACCTTCCTTTCCATCCCCTCGTTCCTCTTAATTTGCCCCATTTCGAATTTTCTTCGCTCGCTTTTCTTCCTTTGTTTTCAGTTTAGTTCATATCAGCACATGCTCTTCATCTTCTTGAAAGCAGTATAACTTACCCTGTAAAGATAAATTTCTAAAGGAGTTCAGACGTAATGATTCCTTGGTGATAAGGGGAAAAATTACTTCTATTCATGTTTTCAAATAAGTTTGTAATATGTTATAGATTTCCATTTATTTCTCTTTACTACTTGATTTTGGCCATCAAATGTATTGCTACATTTCAAAATTTAAAAGCCTTTTTTTTCCCTGTTAAAGCACTAGTTCCAGTCATATATTTAAAGAAATATAGTCATACATCCTCATAAAATCTTGGCTATATGCCCACTCAATTCTTTCAAAATTCAAACAGCGAAGAAAATTTGAAATTAAACATAAAAATAGAAAGTAAGTTTGCTTATACAGCCTCAAGATTTGGGTGCTCAAAGGTTTATTGAGAATTTAGCTTCAACGCAAAGCAAAAAGAATTTCCTTTTCAACAAAATTATGTTAGCAAATAAATAGATAATTAAATTAAGTAAATATGTAATTCTCAAATGAGAATTAGGTTGATTTATCTGGAAATTAATTACCCGACCTGAAACAATTTTAAAAACAATCTGCAAATTTTGGGACATATTGTACTGGGTCTGGAACTTCAGAGTGAAGACAAGGCATGAAGGTAGTGCCTGAAGTGGTGAAACAGGTGAAATCGTAGAGGCTGGTGTAAATATAAGTTGGGAGCTCTGACTGGTGTGGCTCAGTTTGTTGGGTGTTGTTCCACAAATTGGAAGGTCACCAGTTTGTTTCCCAGTCAGGGCCCATGACTGGATAGTGGGTTTAGTCCCCATTCAGGGCAAGTACAAGAAGCAACTGACCCATCTTTCTCTTCTTCTCGTTCTCCCTCCCTTCTCCTCTTTCTAAAAAGATAAAAGACATCCTTAAAAAATAAAATAAATAAATATAAGTTGGAAAAAGTAAATTTAGATTTAGACTTTCTTGGGGTGAATAGGGCCATTGCCTCAAGCAGCTAGTCTCCTTTGGCCAGGTCCTCTCTTTCTCTGGGTTGCTGTGCAGAATTTGTTCACATTTCTGTTATCAGGGGTAAACATAGCATTCTGGGCAATTGGTCCTCTTCTTTTCATTATTATCATTGTTATTTGATTCTAGCCCTTCTAACATATATGTAGTAGTATTTCACTGTTGATTTAATTTGCATTTTGCTCATAACACACGATATTAAACATCTCTTCATGTGCTCATTGGTCATCCTTATATCTTCTCTGATCAGGTCCCTTTTCAGATCTTCCATTCACACTTAAAGGTTTGATTGTTTGTTTTTTGTAGAGTTTTGAAGTCTTTGAATGTAGTTCAGAAATATTTTATTCCAGTGTGTGGTTTGTCTTTTTGATCCACTTATCAGTGTCATTCATAGAACAGATTTCTTTTTAAATTTTATAAAGTTCATATTATTATTTTTTGTATTAATATTAAATCATACTTTAGTATTACATCTAAAAACTTAACACCAAATCCTAAATACAAGGACACATAGACCTGCTATGATTTCTTCTATTAAAAACATATTTTATACTTTTTGTGTTTTTCACATAGGTTTATGATTCATTTTGAGTTAATTTTTCTGAAAGGTGCCAATTCTGTGTCGTTACCTTCTAGGTACCTTTTTTTTTTTTGCATACAGGTGGCCAATTATTTCAGCACCATTTTTTTAAAAAAGACTGTCCCTTCTACATCAAACTGCCTTGGTACTGTAACAGGGTGCAGCCAAGAGGGGAGCCCCAAATAGGGATTTGTAACAGGGTCCAGAAGAGCTTGGAGATAATTGGCTCCATACCACAGGGCACACCTACCCAGAATGTGGGCAGCTGTGGCCAATTGTGAGAGGAGCCGGAAATGGGGCTGCAGAGGAAGACTGGCGCTGGGATTTAAATGGAGGCACAGCAGCCATTGGGCATCTCTCTTTTTGGGATCACGCGTCTGTTTAGGACCACGCGGCTTTGGGGTCTTGGTTGGGACCATGAGGCTTGGGTGAGAGTCAGGACCACGAGGCTTTGGAAGTGCTCCCTTTTGCCACATGGAGGGTGCTGGGAAGACTGTGTGCATTTGTGGGGAACTTTAGTTTGTGTTATTTCAAGTGAATAATAAATTCATTTCCTTTTCACAAATCTCTGGCATTGAAAGACATCTTTCCTCTGGTGGTGGACATAACGAACCTGGGGGGTTCCTTTAGGTAATAGTGTATCATCCCAGCCCCCCCCCCTTCTTGCTGTAACAGTACTTTTGTCAAAGGTCAGCTAGTCAACTGACTAACTTTTGACATTTGTTTGAGTGTCTTATGTCTCTGTTCTTATGTCTCCATTCTTTCACTAAGACTATACTGGCTTGATTATTGTAGTTTCAAAATAAGTCTTGGAATTGGATAGTGTATCTTATACAAATTTCTTCTTCAGGGTTGTGCTAGCTCTTCCAAATTTTTTTAATCTTTTCACATAATGTTAAGAATCAGTTTGTCAATATTTACAAATTATCTTGGTAGGATCTCTACGGACCCTGAGTTCAAACTAAACATCATGTTTGGAAGAATCGACTTTTTAATAATATTAATGTTTTAATGCATGAACATGGAATTATATTCCCATTTTTTATATTTTCTTTGATGAATTTTATTAGTGTTTTTGGTTTAATGCAAACAGATTCTATATTTATTTTTTTGCTTGTTTTATATATAACATTTCATTTTTGGTACTATTGTAAATGGAATTTTTAATTTCTTTTTTTTAAGATTTTATTTATTTATTTTTAGAGAGGGAAGGAAGGGAGATAGAGATAGAGAGAGAGAGAGAAACATCAATGTGCGGTTGCTGGGGGTCATGGCCTGCAACCCAGGCATGTACCCTGACTGGGAATTGAACCTGTGACACTTTGGTTCATAGCCTGCGCTCAATCCACTGAGATACACCAGCCAGAGATTGAATTTTTAATTTCAAATCTAATAGTTTATTGCTATTATTTAGAAACACAAGTAATTTTTTATGCTAAACTTGTATCCTGTGATCTTCATATACTCAACTATTAGTTCCAGGAATTTTTCGGTTAAATATTTGCGATTTTTAACATGGCCAGTTAAGTCACCTATATATAAATAAGGCAATTTTATTTCTTCCTTTTTAATCTATATATTTTTCCTTTTACTTATGTTATTGCACTAGTTGGTTCTAAAAGCATGAGGTTGAATAAAAGTGGTTGAAAAGCATTTTTTATTTCTAATTTGCTGAAATATTTTTATTATTGAGTGATTTAGTTGGATGTTTTATCTATATCAGTTGATATGGTCATATTATTTTCATAGCCTGTTGATGTAGGAAATTATATTGACTGACTTTTGAATGATGACACCTTGCATACTTGGAATAGTCCACCCTACTAATTTGCATAATTCTTTTTGTACATTGTGGAATTTGATGTGATGATATTATCATGATTTTTTATCTAAGTTAACTTTATCTAAGTTGTCTTTGATTTTAATTTCTCTAATGCCCCTATGTAATTTTGCCATTAGGGCAATACTGGCATCATAAAATGAGTTAGGAATTACTTCACTAGCTTCTATTTTCTGGATGAGATCTTGAAGAATTTGTACTGTCGTGTCAATGTACGATGGGTGTCACTGGTGAGTGACACCCTTTGGGAGTGATACTTTTTTATTTGGAATGTTATTAATTATTGATTCAATTTTTAAAATACAAAGCTATTAGATTATTGTTTATGTATTAGTTTTATAGTTTATGTCTTTCAAGGAGTGAATGCATCTCATGTAACTAAACAAACGTGTGATTGTGGAGTTGTTCATAGTATTCCCTTATTATTCTTTTAATATCCATTAGATAAGTAGAGATATCTGCTTACTGCATCCAATGCTGGTAAATTGTGCCTCCTGTCTTTATTTGGGATTAGACTGGGTAGAGTTTTATTTATTTTATTGATCTTTTCAAAACACCTGCATTTGCGTCTGTTCATATTCTCCATGATTGTCATGCTTCCAATTTCACCGATATCTTTTCTAAGTTGTATTTATTAGCTTTTATTCTCGTAACTTACTATATTTAAATTTTAACTTTTAAATTTCTCTTTTTTCTTTAGTCTACTAAAGGAGAAATGTAAGTTATAAATTTTAGATGTTTTTTCTAATGAATGGATTTAATTCTGTAACTATTTTTCTGAGTACTGCCTTGGCTGAGTCTCACAGATTTTGACATGTTGTGATATACTTTAATTTTAGTTAAAAACATGAACTTTTCTTGAAACGTCATTGACTTGTATATGTCACGTAGGCGTATGATATTTACTCTGCACTATTTGAGGATTTCCTGCAATTCCTTTTATTAAATTCTACTTTAATTCTATCTTGATCTGAAATCATACTTTGTACGGTTTTTATTTTTACATTTTAAAGCAGTGTTTATTGGCTTACTCTAAGGTCTTGACAAATGCTTCACGTGCATCTGAAACGAATGTGTGTTCTGCTGTTGGTGGGTGGTGCACTCCATAAACGTCAATTAGATCAAGCTGGTTGATACTGTTGTTCCATTGAGCTATGTCCTTACTGACTTTCTGCCTGCTTGAGCTATCAGCTACTAACAGAGGGTCGTTGAAATCTCTGACAATAATAGTAAAGTCATTTATTTATCTTTGCTGTTCTAAGAATCTCTGCCCGATATATTTTCATGTCCTGTTGTTATCTGCATGCATGTTTGAGAATGTTATGTCTTCTTTGATAACTGACACCTTTATCATTATGTAACAACCCTCTATATCCCTAATAATGATTTTTTTTTGAAATCTTTTTCTGCAAATAGGTACTTCAGCTCTCTTGGGTTAG